GGGGATGCTCCTTTCCCATCTGAGGCCAGTTGGAGCCCCTCCCTCCCCATCTCTTAGACAGAGACGTCTCCTCTGTCTCTCCTTTGGATCCCAGCCCCAGACCCTGATGGCTGGAGATGGGAGAGGAGGAGGGCTGAGGATAGAAGGAAGGGGCATTCAATTAACAGGTCTAAGAACTCCTGGCCTGAGGAGGTCAGAAAAGCAAAGAGATTTGCCCAAGATCACACACTTACATAGTCATGTGAAGAATAATCACAGTTGTGGACTTGCTCTGTGTCAGGTACTGCTATAAGCACTTTACAAGGACTAATCTTTGCAATACTCCACGACAAAGAAGAAGGTACCATTAGTATACCCACTGTATAGATGAGGAAACTGAGGCATAGAAGTGAAAATAGACTCGCCCCTGTCTCCCAGATAGCAGTCCCTCTAGTTACAGCCCAAAGCTATAGTGTGGCCAATGGTTTCACTCTCTCTGAGGAAGGGACCAAATGCCCTGGGGTTCCGAACCCTCGTTCCCACCCCGACCCTCCCCCAAGTTGATCTGTTTGCTGCCACGGTTATGCTTGCTAACAATCCAATCAGAAAAAGGCATATAAAAGGATGTGCCCAATCAGAAACAAGGAATTTGGAAGGCCGGGCCCAATCAGAGGGCGATTCAGAGGGACCATCCAAGGCATAGGGGCTATGCCTACAGGGATTGTGGAAGAACCAATCAGAAAGGTCATGGAAGGACCAATCAGAAAGGTTAGAACCATGATGAGTCAGCACGAAGGGCGTGGCTGTAGAAACTGGAGACCACCTATGTCTTCCCAGTGGCCCCTCCACCCCGCCACTGCCCAGCCCTAAGTTCTCCATTCTAAACCTCATGCTTCCCTGGGGAACTTCTCCTTTTTGACCTTGAAAGGAGCCTTAGGAGGTGGGCTGTAGGCAGTTAGCACCCACCAGCCACTCTGAGAGAAAGATGTGACAGTTGGTCTTCCTAAAGATTGCCCTTGCTAGATGCTTTTGGGTCTGTTCCGACTCGTAGTGACCTTATGTGTGACAAGAGGAGACATGGCGCCATCCTGAGCCATCCGCAGAATTCTTGCTGTTTTTTGAGCCATTGTTGCAACCGCTGTGTCAACCCATCTCATTGAAAGGCTTCCTCTTTGTTTTGCTGACCCTCTATTTTACCGAGCAGGGTGTCCTTTGGCTTGAAAGCCCTAGGGAGGCCGTTTGGCTCTGTTCTGTTTATCCTGCCCCAGGCCCAAGAATTGATGCCTTTAGATTGTGGTGTTGGCCAAGAATACGGAATATTTGCCGGACCGCCAGGAAAAAGAACAAATCGGTCTTGGAAGAAGTACAGTCAGAATGCTACTTAGAAGTCAGGATGGAGAGACTTCATCGGCTGTACTTTGAAAATGTGATCAGGAAGGACCAGTCCCTGGAGTATATCATGCTTTGATGTCAAGGTCACCTTGAGTTGGAAACGACTCTCAATTGCGCCGAACAACAACACAACACGGAATCAACTAGAGGGTAACAGCAGGTGGCCTTGAAAGTGAGCAGGTCTTATGTGGGGGGTCTGAGGCTAGGAGGTCAGACCCCTTGGCTGGAGGGGCTGCTGGGGTTAGCTTTCAGGGTGGAGCCTAAAGTGGAGGGGAGGGGCCTAGGCTTGAGGGTGGGGTCTAGGCTGAGGAGCGCTGAACACTATGTTGTAGAGTTGTGTCCAAGGGGAAGGGTGGAGGGGAAAGGTAGGCTAAAAGGTGGGCCCTAGATTTGAGAACCCGTAAATCAACCAACCAACTAATCAACCAACCAACCAACCAACCAACCAGCCAACGAACTAAACTCAACCCACTGCCATCAAGTAGATTCTTGAACACAGTAGAGCTTCTTTGTAGCAATGGAGTAGCACTGTCCCAGGGGGTTTCAAAGGCTGTCAATCTTTATGGAAGCAGACTGCTCTCTCTTTCTGCCAAAGAGCGGATGGTCTGTTCCCACCCCGGACTATGACTGGAAGTGGCGTGCTTAACCACTTGCTCCACCAGGGCTCCCCTAGGTCCGATGCTCACACTCATTGCCATCCAGTCCATGCCAGGCGGACTCACGGTGACCCTCTAGGGCAAGGCAGAATGGCGCCTGTATGTTTCTGAGTGGGGGAGTTTTGAACTGCCGACCTTGGGGATCCCAGCCCAGCATGTAGCCCCGTAGGCCATCATGGCTCCAGTTTAGGATTTTTCACTTGGAGGTGGAGCCTAAGAAGAAGTGGGCGGGGCCAATGGTTGGAGGTGGGGTTTTGCTGAAGAACCTGCTGGACCAGAGCTTTCTGTTAGAAGGTCTGGGCCAGGGAAATCCGGACTTGATTCGTTGCTGTTGTTTTCCATGCCCATTCCTGTCCACCCCAGCCAGCCATGATAGGCATGCACTCTCTCCCTTCCCATGAGCCCAGGCTGCGGAATGTTTACTCCTGACTGCGGCCCTGCCAATGAGGTCGGGAGTAATTTTATTCCCTGCCTCTCCCCCCACCCACCCCAGGTATTCAAGTGACTGTTTACCTCTGGACACCCCCCCCCCTCAGGAGGCTCACATTTCAATGACTAGGCAATCAACAACAAACAAGAAAGACACGGGTCAACAAAAAGAGGGTGATTTCAGAGAGTGGTCAGTGCTCAGAGGTGATGGCGTAGGATGCAGAATGATATGCTGAGGCTCTTGTCTCGAGTTTCTTTTTAAGGGACCCTGGTGGGTGCCTGTGGTAGTTACATAATTTCATGTCAACTGGAAGACACGAAGTGTCGGGGTGCAGTCTAGCCTCTCCATCAGGTCACAGCCTGATGGTAACTCCTTGTGGGTGTGGCCTTCTCATAAAGAAGATCCTGGGAACCTCCCCCCTTCTGCCTTCACCCTCCTGCCTGTGAGCCACTCTGAAACCTGTGCCAGCCCTGTGATGCTTCCACTGCCATTTGAGCCACAAGACCTTCACCCACCAGCCTGGGATCTTCCTGCACTCTTGCATCATAACTTGTGGCTGCGTGAGTCTGAAGAGGGATTTATGGACTACTATTGGACTTAGGGACTTGATCTGGACTGGGCTGGGATGTTTTCCTGATACATAACTTCTTTTTTTTTTCCCCCCCTGATATATAACTTCTTGATATAAAGCTCTCTCTTACACATTGTGTAGTCTGGGCTGACTAGAGAAACAAATCCAGAGACACTCATATGTGTATAAGAGAGAGTTTTATATCCAAGAGTAATTGTATATTAAGAAAACCTCCCAGCCCAGTCCAGAATAAGTCCCTAAGTCTGATATTAGTCCATAAATCCCTCTTCAGACTCACACAGCCACAAGTAATGTTGCAAAATGCAGGAAGATCCCAGGCTGGTGGGTGGAAAGTCTTGTGGATCCAGTGGTGGTGGAAGCTTCTCAGCACGGCGTGGGTCTCCATGTTGCTCCTCTAGCTCCAGGGCTCCGACTGCCATCAGTATAGCTCCATCCTGCACTCCTGGCTGGCTAAGGCCTCTCTCTCTCTCTCTCTCTCTCTCTCTCTCTCTCTCCCTCTCCCACCCCCAACCTCTCTCTGAGACCTGGGTTGACCAGGTGGGGAGAGAGAGGGAGAGGGAGAGAGTAGAGCGACCGACCAGTGTGGGGTGGTGGTGCATGTGTGGCTTGTCAACAGGAATGTCTCAGAGAGTGTGTGTCCTTCCTCCAGGGAGGAAGACAGGAGTTCCCAGAATTCTCAGGAGAAGGCCATGCCCACACAGAGCCTCATTGGCTATGACCTGATTGACAGGCTAGACTCCACCCCTTCACTCAAGTTGAGAGGAGATGATGTAACTGCTACACACATATATGAGTGTCACTGGATTTGTTTCTGTAGCCAGCCCGGCCTAACACAGTGCCATAGTGGTCATACATTGGGCTACTACAAGGTCAGAAGTTTGAAGCCATCAGCCACTCTTTTTCTACTCCTGTAGACTTACAGTCTTGGAAACTCACAGGGTCAGTTCTACCCTGTCCTCTAGGGTCTCTGAGTTGGCATTGACTCTGAGTTGACATTGACTCAATGACAGGTTTTTTTTTCTTTTTAAAGAGACCTAGTTATGCAGTTGTTAAAGACTTTGACTCCTAATCAAAAGGTTGGTGGTTTGAACCCACAAGGCACTTCAGAGAAGAAAAATGAGGCAGTTTGCTTCTGTAATGATCACAGCCTAAAACCCCTGTGGGGGCAATGCTGCTTTGTTCTACAGGGTCTCTCTGAGTCATAATTCACTGAGAATTTTTTGGGGGGGGAGAGGAGAGATCTTTAGTCTCCTTTAATCCAGAAGAACCCTTCCCCTAACTCCCAACATTTATTGTAAAACATCTCAAATACACAGCAAAATGGAAATAAGCTGACAGCAAACACTCCCATACTCAACCCCATCACCAACATTCAACTAAACTCACTTGACTACCTTTCTACCCATCAATATCCCTTATTTTAAAACAATGGTATGTGGAAGTCATTAAGACATTTCCTTGGGGGGAGGGGGGGTCCACTGCTCTTCTGTTGGGATGGAAAAGGCAGGCTTCCCTGAGGAGATTTCATCGGAGTTAAGACCTCGGTGAAAAATGGAGCTAGTCATGAGAGGAGAAGACGAACTCTTAGGATCTGGGGGCTGGAATGAACAGGGCACATTGGATGGATCGAAAGGCATCGCCAAGGAACCAGAAGCCCTCCTTGAGGCTGGCAGACAAGAAACAGCGGGAGCGGGCAGAGATGGGGTCAAGAGCCCACAGGCCCAGTATATTCTGTGAGTGTGGCTGTCTCTTTGTCTGTCCACCTCTTTCCATCCTGGTGGTGTAGGAATTATGCCTTGGTCTGAGATCCTCAAAGTCAGAAGTTCGAAATCGCTAGCAGCTCCACAGGAGGAAGAGGAGGCTTTCTATTTCCGTAAAGAGTTAGTCTCAGAAGCTCACAGAGGCAGTTCTACCCTGCCCTACAGGGTCGCTACGAGGCAACATCAACCCAATGGCAGTGCGAGATCCTCTAGAGGCCAGCCCCACTCACATCCTCTTACCCATCCACCCTCCATCCTGCCCTGACATTGGCTCTCTGTGTGCAAGGGATGTCACTTCTCTCTGACTCCGATTTTCTCATCTGTTGAAAGGGGGGTCATGATAGGACCCTCTTATCGGGCAGTTGTGAAGAAGATGTCTGGGGACCACGTGTGGCACGCAGCAGTGATGTGTGTGTGTGTCTTTATTGCTCTTACTAGCACCTCTCCTCCACCTTCAACTTCCCCAACCTTAGATCTCAGGGCCCCAGCAAAGGCACCAGGTGGGGGTGACAATGAGATCTAAAGATGGGCTGGGCACTGGAGATCCCCTTGCAGAGGGGTCTCGGGGAGGAGATGAGCCAGTCAGGGTGTGATGTAGCAATGATGAAACATACAACTTTCCTCTGGTTCCTAAATGCTTCCTCCCCGCCCCCACTATCATGATACGAATTCTACCTTGCAAGTCTGGCTAGACCAGAGGATGTACACTGGTACAGATAGGAACTGGAAACACAGGGAATCCAGGGTGGA